CCATTCATTAATTTTGAGTTTAAAGAAGCTGCATGAAGGATCGCAGAATGGTTTAGTCCAAATAAAATATTTGGCCGTTTCTTTTCTGGCTAGTTTATCGGCTTTCTCGTTTTTCTCAATTTCGCTGGGTCCTGGCATCCATATTAAGTGACGGCATTTTCTTTCAGTAAGATCTTTAAGAGGTTGGAGGCATTCCTATACAAGTTTTGAATTTACTCGAGATGTGCTTAGTGCTAGAAGTGCTAACTGTCAAAGAAAATATATACGTTTTTTGCTGTGGTGTTTTTCCATCTGTATTTCCTTAGACATAATTCAATTGCGTGGACTTATGTCTTATCAAAATAATACCTCAGTTTGCATTTTTTTTTTGAAATAGCCTATAAATTGTATAATTCGATATGAGATTTATTGTACAAATATTAAACGTATTCTTTCACAAATTATTTAAAAGCTTACTTGTTGTTGTGTGATTATCTTTTCAGACATCAGATACAGTTTAGATAGTACTACAGATGACTGTAATAATCTTTTTTATATTAAATAATTGTTATTTAATATAATATTTAATTTATATTAACATTTTGACAAATTTTAAAGCTTATGGAAGCACATTCTCTCCGTGACTCAATAGTAGACATCGAAAAGTTATAATTTGCATTATAAGTTTTTAAAACGATAAACTTCATTGGAGATTCCTCTTTCAATTTAATGTGATATTCTTGCCACTTCTAAATGTCATAAAAATTGAAATAAAAAAGCAATGAAATTAAAAAGCGAAATATCTTAAATTTATTATATCCGAATATTTAATTTTTTATAATTTAAATATATCAATGTCACTTATACTCGTAAATTGTCTTTATGTGCATCAAAAAATCCTCATTTTGCATAATCGACTTTATGACATTTTATGAAAAATTAGCTATTGACTTTAAAATCAAAGTCAATAACTGATATGAATTTTAAGCAGATTAATTTAGAAGTGATTTTTATAATTTTACTGATTCCATAATGCAAATTTTAAGTTGAGTGCCAATCTTTTCAATTGAATTTAGTCACGATTCATGATTTATGTCATATAATGGAATTTTTATTATTTATTTCTTTGATTTTTGATTAAAAATTAGTTCGAGCTAAATTTATAGCATCATGGACTATAAAGTAAGTGGTTATTATTATTCTTATAAGTATACATTTTTATTAGTTGAATTTATGGCTATACAGTATTATATATTAATACATATGTACAGTATTGAGTATTGGTAATTATTCCATTTTTCATTTTTGGTTGTTAAAATTATCTAAATGAAATTTCGATTCTGTCCAACATTTGTTTTTTTCAGGTTTCTGGTCAAAGGAACATTGGATATGTTTCATACTGATTGAACTAGCCAGGTGGATTGCCTCGGGAACATATTTGATATTTTTGAAAGATTTGGGCCGGAACTAACAATTCAAAAGCATTTGTTAAAATCTCCCCATAAAGAACACTTATTTTAAAGATTTTATAACCATACCCTGTAAAGCAATTATTCTTATAGAGGATATGCTATTCTTTTACTTTCCTTTTGGATGAATATTCCTTTTAATGCTATTCATTGCAGTTGTAAGAAAATGAAAAAAGTGCTTGACATCTTTTCATCTGTACAAAGCATGCAACATTTAGAGCAAACATGTTAAATCCCCACTTTTTCTAGAAAACAGAACTTTCTTTAAAATAAGACACTAAGCACATATGTTAAGAATACTCATATATAATCATATTGCATTTATATTCTTGTTTGCGTTTCGTTTAATGATTATAATACGCACATAGTATATATTGACATATATAGTATATATACTATTTTAATACCTATTAACATATATAATAAGTATGGCTTTGCGTCAGTTGACTAACGAAGGCTGACTCTGAGCTTCAAGTTTTGCAGTGCACGAGTTTAACCCTTGGTAATTGTAGTCTCAAAAAATTATTTACGAATAATTAAATACAAGATATTATTCCAAGACCACTGATTATGGGTACTTGGCAATACTCGAAACAGCTGTATGGTCAGCCTAATATCCAATTAATTAAAGTAATTTGACAAAAATTTTTTGTTGTTGTAGTTCACTACTCTTGGAAATTTCTCTACCATATATACTATGTATAAAATAAGCAAAGTACACAAATTATATTTCTGGGCAATTTTTTATTGCATTTCATAAAACATTTAAGAATCACAACAAGGAGACTTTATTCAGATCTTTTAAGCAACTTAGCCAGCTTGTGGTAACATGGCTAAAATACCACGCTTTACGTTGGTTACATCCTGGACAACTGCTTCTCCAGTGATGTGATCATTTGCAATCAAAGTTCGTTTCTTGTTAGCATCCAACATGTGTGCGGAGATGTTCAACTCAAAGTCAACCTCTGGTAGTACGGCAAGGGATGGATCTTCAGGTAACCAGAATTTGTGTATAAAATAGGTGCCCTGCAATTTACGTGAAAAATATTTTTGGAATTTATATTTTCCCTAAAAAAATATATGCAATATTTATAGATATGATTTGTTTATGACAACATTTTTGTGATGATGTTAATGAGGAAGGCTATGAGAAAATTAGAATAAATTGAGGTTATTTGAGAAAAAAATTTCTGTTTAATTTACGAAAGCTTTCAAAAGAATATTTATGTTTTTAATTTTACTATGAGTAAATAAGTTATTTAGTTTGTTGAACCCAAAAATTGTCCTATTTAAAGTACATTTTTAATGCCAAGCAAACTTTCAAACAAACTTTTGTCGAGAAATAGTGATAAGTTATACAGTTTATGATGTGTGATGAAATGCTAAACAAAATGGTAAAAACACCTACCTTTGGAATTGGACAAGATTCTACAAGATTTCCGTATTCCTTAAGATAAGCATGAATCAAATTACCGATCGGGGATTGAGCTTTCCAATTTAGTATGCGACAAAGATTAACTGTTGAGTTTGCTGAAAAAAAGTAAGTTGAGTCCAATTTCTGTGTTACCGAAGCTTCAATATGCAGATCTAGATCATGTATTTCTTTCAACACATTAATGGTGTAATTTATATGCGGATCATTGGCATCAAAGGTGACACTACGTGTGACATAAGCGCTGTCACTCCAAATTTTAACATCCTTGAATTTTGGGCGCATGACTTTCTGTAAAATAAATTAATTTTATTTTTCAATTAAAAAGGAAAAACTTTAGATTTGAGTTACCTCTGCCTGTATGGCGATAACGCAGACTATGAGGACCACTTGAAATAGGAAAATATTCGTTAGGCGCGCCATTTTGAGAGCAATTGTTGGAAAAGTTCTTCACCAAACCAAAAACTGCTTCAATAATGTTTATAAACTCCTAAAACATTTAAGTTTTTATAACAAAAGCCGGTGGAGATGGCATATAGATTACGCTTTTGTTTTAATTATTATTATGTGGAATTATAAAATAAAAGTAGAAAATGAAAAACCTGTAACGCAATTTTCCGCTCAAACAGAATTGAATGATTTTTGATTGCTTTTTAGATTTAATGGTTCAATGGAGCTTTTAAATTGCCTTCATAAATGATTTTTAATACTTCATGATATCATATTTATTTTTATCATTTTCATTGGCGATGACATCATACTGATTTTTCGATAAGGCGGAAATAGTTTGTCATGCAGAATTTTCCATTATTTTTTCATAAAAATATTAAAGAAGATATGAATTATATTTTCTGCATAGTGAAAATTTTTCATCAGTTAAATTTTGTGTAGCTATGAAGTTAGAAGTGAAAATTTTAATCGCTTTTGGTATAATTTTATTTCTCTGCAGTAATACTGCACTTGGATGGGTAAGTGTTTTGATAACTGGTTTATAACTCAATATTTTGTTCATCTATCCATTTCAATTAATTGGTAAATTATTATAAATATGATCATTAACTTTTAATAGCGAATAATTACATTTAAGAGACTTATAATTAAATACTCGTGAATTAAAGTGTTCTAATAAAATAACATAAACTGCACATTCTATACATGTAATTAGTATAATACTAATATAGTATAAATACTAACCTTTGCAACAAACTGAAGGGTATTCAATTGCTGAACAATTAATTATAAAAATTTCATCGGTATCCACTAACATTTTGTATTAATTTTTATGTCAAGAGAACTTGACCGTTATATTTCCTTCTTAGCGATATGCAATGGTTCAATAATTATAGTATCTAAATAACTAAATATCAAAATATTAATTTTTGATAAGTTCTAAGTATGTATATACGATTAAGTAAATATGAACACCTCTACCAAATAGTATTTATAAAATACTTCATATTTTTATTGTATAGAAAACCCACAATTTATATTTAAGATAACTCTGGCTTACTTTTTCGTAAACAGAAATTTCATGAAAAACCTCATTAGGGTTTTCTAAAGGATGTATGTTTGGATGCCTCTTACACCGGCAAAAATAAGTTTTTTGTAGATTAGACCTTTATCTATGAACCCTTAGTAGTCAGTTCCAATTTTTTATCAAAGTTTTGTCAAAAAAAAATTTCAGAAAAAAGTCAAATTTCTGGGGAAAGAAATATTGTTGAGTACTAAAAACAAGTTTGTATAAATGTTACATTGAATATGCATTTTATATTGGTAGGCATTGTTATTAATTATTAAGAATTATTCCAGATATATCTGTTTACATTTTTTATTTTAGCAGACAGTGTATTCTGTCTCTACTATTATTGTTCTATTATTAAATATTATTGTTCTTTGTGTGCAGTAATAAAATAAATATAACCCAGCTTCAGCTGTGACGTGTACTGCCTTTCCTAATATATGGTGTTTTTTCTGCTGTATGAGAACTTAAAATGATAATGGAATATAGAGATATTATTGGAATGAAATTTTTTTTATTATAATTTGGTAGATAATTTCATGGCATTTCCGACATATGTCCGCCACTGTTACGAGTTTTATGGTCTATTCGATCAGTTCAATTTTTGACTATTTTTTGCAATTATTGCGACCTTATGACATCAATCGTCAATGGTCAAGAACTGTTGGTTTATCGGTATAAACTAATGACTTAACATATCCCCATAGAAAGAAATCGAGAGGCGTTAAATCGTACGAAAAAGGGTAGCAGTTAACAGGACCTGAAACAAAGTTTTTAGTAAATTGATTTCACATTATATTCATCGTTAAGCGCGCTGTATGGTAAGATGTTGGAACCGATAACTGATTAATTTTTGGAAACAAAAATTTTCTGGAATGGCTCGATAGCTCGAAATGAGCTCATTCCTCATTTCGAAAAAAATAAGGATCGATGATGCCGTCAGCGTGCAAGCCGCATCAAACATCCAATTTCAATGGATGCATAGATGATTTTAAATTGAAAAGAGTAAAATTAGTGAGAAAACGATCAATAATTGCACATATTGCTTGTTTACTCGGCCGATTATGTTAACCGTAAAATGAACGAAGTGCTGTATGAACTTATTCTTTTTTCATAGTAAATTTGGAAGCGTTGTTGTAGCATTAAACGATTCATGATGAATTGCCAAACTTTACTGAACGGAAATGTCAATACAGTTTTATAGTTCTTAGCTGTCAAACCCATAGCTATCATATAGATATCAATCGTTTTCATATAGCTAAAATAATATCCGATATAAAATATAGAAGGTCTTATTTTCCTACGATTAGGATCAGTCATTTAAAAAATGTTCATTGATAGTACATAGTTTGGTTTTTGACTGATATTAACTCATTCATATTGTTTTCTTAAGCTTAATATATGTAACAACATCAAAAATTGACATAGGTATGCTCCATCAAATTTTGACATAATGGATAATTATATTTATACAGAGTTTAATTGTCGGAATTTAGTACTCAAGTTAGGATATCAAATTAAAAGAAGACAATGAAAAAAAATGGCTTTTTCCAAAAAAAAATGTCTTTTATTAAAAAGTCATTGAATTATCAAATTCAGCATCCTGATCTGGTTTTCCCCTCTCTTCTTATTAATAGAAGAAAAGTATTACCTCTACTTACCTCCAGAAAGTGTTATTGAGAACTCTAGTAGCCCGTTAGTTATCTCTTTCTTTATATTTATTTTGTTTAGCTTGACGTATATGCTAATTTTGAAATTAAGTGTTTAATGTGAGTTCATAGACGTGATATTAGCTGACAAAATATGAAAAAACCTATTAAATTTTTGATCACTTGTATGCATCACTATATATACAGGTGTCTGTATCCCATAGATAATTCCATCTGAATCGTATGTGCCTGCTGTTTACCAGCAGAAGAGCATACTTTTGGTATAGAAATAAGTTGTTTTTTCTTTAAAATCGTGAAAGGAAGCCATCTTTCTAGCATTTAAAGGGAATAACAATTTTCTATCCCAGAAAAAACTAATAGTTTTTGAAACATAAAATCAATACGTATTCTTTGTCTTTTTAGGGTGTGTATTTTAATATAGAGGATTACACATAATGCAAAAATCCTCAAAGTTATATCCAATTCGGAATTATAGAATTGCGAAAATAAAAAAGATTCTCTTATTCTTATTAAGCAAATGCGCCTCTTATTGCAGAGATATTGTCTTTTGTTCTTTTTATTGATGAACTGAAATTATACGCCTTCGTAAAATATTTAAGAGGGTGTGATAACTAGTTCCTGTTAACTATTAAAATAAATAAATCAAATACAAAATAATGCATATAAAAATATTATATAAAAGCCATTTATGTTTTTGCAAATTATGGAATTTGTTAGGTGTAGTTTCTTTAGAAGATTATTTACTAGATACTGTAATTCAGCAGAACAAAAAGTTTTGATGCGACATACATATATACACTAAACTATTATTAAAAAATTTTTATAAAAAATAAAATAATTAAAGTATGTGCCTGAAAAAACTATAATTCCCTGAAATGTACACATCCTGATGAAATTATATATATATACTTAATATCTACTTCATTAATATTACTTAATATTAATTTAGTTATTACAATTTTAATATAACAATTAATATATTTCTGATAAGAATATAACATATTTAACTAACTTTTTATTATCCTATATTTATTATTATTATAACATATTAATTTTATTATCTTTTCAGCGTTCGTTTAATGTACTTTTCACTTCATTTCCGTTTAAATTCAATTCAGATATGATTGATGTGAAAATTAAAATTCACAATAAAACTGACGAAACTACTTTGGATGTTGTTTTTAATGTTCTAGAAGATATTAATGACATACATCTGAAGTACGCGATTGCACTTGAAGCAAGCGAAGGAAATTACACGGCACTCTTAAACCGATCGGTCAATATGTGCAATTTCTTAAAGCAACGTTCAATGGAACCCGTGTTACGTGTAATCTACGAAAATATACTGAAAAGTGGTAATTTCATCAAAACCTGTCCAATTAAAAGAGGGATTTATTCACTACATGAATACCATGCTGATGAGGAAATATTACCCAGTTATGTACCCGAGACTAATTTCATTGTTGACATCAAAATGGATTTGCCGAATGGCAAAATGGTCTTCCAAGGTCGTTTGAATGGCAAAATAGATAAATCCAAGGGCTTCAATAACCTTAAAATGTTTAGTTTAGGTTGATTTTCAAATCATTACATAGCAAGAAAGTGAATTGTTAATTGACATAAGGAATGTGAAATAAATTTTTCCTATATGTATAAAACTGCAATTATTTACTATTTTCTTAAATCAAATAATTTTTAAAAAAATTTTCATATTACGATCTGCTTCCAAAACCAATAAAAACTGTATATCTCAATTTAAATTCACGCCTCTGAAGAAAAAAACACCAAAAAAAGATACTTGAAGATAAAGAATGCAAGGTATACTCGCATGTGAGAATGTATCTTTTAGTATTCAGCACATTTTCTTTGCTTTGTCTGATGTGATTACTTACTCATCTGTGAAATCGTATGCTTATGCTGGTGACAAACTGTCTGCGCACGATAAAATTGATGATTCACTTATATTGAATTTTGAAAATTTGCAATTTTTGCAATCAAACTCCTTTTTAATTTCCCGATGAAAAAAGGAAATTTTAGTTGTCGTAAAAGGTGCAATAGCTTTGATTACATTTTGTTAAAATTTCAAAAAAGTTGCTTGTGAAAAATTTAAATATCAAATTTAAAGTTTCACACGTTGCGGCTTCTTGAAAGACAAAAATCTGCTTTTACTGAAAAAGTCTTCCCGACAAAATTTATTAACCTTTTCTTCATGAGCTGGATTTACTAAGCACAAATTGAAATAAAATTCTAATTCAAACACTTAGCTGGATTCGGAACTGAGGCACTTAATGACTCAAGTGCTCATTGACTTGATAGGCCATTTGTTCGAGTGTAATAAATATTTTTATCTACATATTCACAATTAAGGATTCAGTACACATTTTATAAACGAGCATTAATATATGCAATGGAGCAAAAATGAGTCATAAATTTTAGGCGAAGGTTAAGAAATTTAGAAACGCTTATTCGTATCGTATCATACATACATTTTGTGACACAGAAAAAGGCGGCATTTAAACTTTTGATATTTTAATTATTCCAAATTCATGTTGACAGTTGAGATCCATGGTTTTTGCACTCCGAAGTGACTACTCGTGTTGTTTTATGGTTTCAACACCCAAGAATTGTGATTAATTTTCTAGTTACGTAGTTCACATCAGTGAAACTAGTTCAAATTATTACAGTTCTCTTTCGCTTAGAGTTAACAGCATAGTATCAGTATTAAAAAAAAATTAATTATTAATAAGTATCTACATTCTACTAAGATAGGATATTTTATAACACAAAAAATACAAGTCCTTCCGATTTACATTAAACTATAAGATCAAGTTATTTATCATATTCTTGAAATTTTAGAACTCATCACGCCGGGATTGCATTATCAAAGTAGATCAGTTTTTAATATCTAGACTTATATAAAGTGAAATTTTTGAGTTATTCCAGAAAATTTGCTATAAAGTAATATATTTGAATGAAATTGTACTTACATACTTATATCTTTAGGTAAATATTAATATTGTCACATTTATTTTAAGATCGTTTGTAGATAGGGCTAGGTGGGAAGAGAGGAGGGTGGAGTTCGTTAGGTAAGTATACCCCTAGTGGAAAAAGCGGTCAAAGGCATCCGAATTTCCGGTAGTAGTGATCTTGATGATTTAGCCCCTCGGTACTATGAACTGGTGATAGTAACTTACTGTTCGAGTTGGCTGGATGATGCAACTGTACACGGTTAAGGGTACTAAAGTCTTTAATGGCCAATTAGGTATGTAAGTAAGTAAGTAAGTAGTCTCTGTATAAAGCTACTAAATATAAGTTGCACTTATTTTCATAGTGAGTTAATAAGCGTTTAGGGTTGCCATCATACAAATTTGTTTTAAATTGAATATCTTCGAATTTCGATCTACATGATTTTTTCTAATGTATGTAATCGGTATAAAAAAAGAAGGAACATAGGCCACAACAATTTTATTAAACTTTAATTTTCAGGGTTACCAATATACGAAAGAATTGTTAAAATTAAATTAACTACTAAACCGCTGAATTGATGTATATTTATTATATGTAATATTTATATAAGGCTGTATAGCATTGCTATAAAATTAAACATTAATGGTCTCCAGAATATGCGAAATAAGATAGGTAAATATTAGCTTCTTCTGCAAAAGCTATTAAAATGCCAATTTAGAAACTTGTATAATTTTGTGTTCGATGAATTATTGTAACAGAATTATCAACAAATCATTTAATCAGGAGATATAAAATACATCTTAGGAGTACTTAGAATTTAAAAGTAGGAACAGTTCCTAAGATTCAAAATATATAAATTAAACTCAAAACTTATTTTTATTTTTTTTTATATTAAAAACTGAGGTCAAACAAAGTGGAGTTATTTTGTAGGAACTTGAGTTTACATCGTTTCCATTTCGTTATTTCAAATTTAAGAGAAATTAAAAAGAAACTGTATTTACTGTTTACAATAATTTCAAGAGATATGTTATGATGTTATGATATGATTATAATCGCAATATTTTTTGTTGTAATACTATTCAATAATTTAAATATAAAATAATTCCTTTGAAGAAATCGTCAACATATCTTACAAGGCTCAGGATGACGCAAATGAGTTTCTTATGATCCTGTTCGAATATAGTGAAGAATTAAAAACAAAGGTGGGTCAATGTCCTGCATAATACATAGCGTACACGGATGTCTATATAAAAAATTTCGGGTGTTTCAATGTTTTGAGTAGAGAACTATCACAAATGGCTTTTTTCTTAGTAATAAAAACGTGTAATAATTAGGAATTTTATCCCTGATTTTTAAAGACTTGAGTTCAATTACTCTATACGCATTTTACTGAAGACACTAAATCAGTTAGATACATTAGTTGTTTATGTAGAATTATGGAAGAGAAATCATTTTAATTAATTTCGGGAACAATAAAAATATTTAATTTGTGATTTATTAGCTTCCGTATAAGGGAAGCTATTTTCATACATTTTAAATATAAAGAAAACGACCATAAGCATTTAAAGTTTGTAGTTTTTATTATACAGTAATAGAATACGGTAGTAAATTGTGTTATATATATATAACATATTATATTAATCAGAGAGAAATAAATATCACAATTAAAAAAATTGTGTATTACTCAATCAATGTTGTTTACTTATTGCTTAATTTTTGTACGATTGTATATAGGTATAGTATAATCCGCCTACATTAGGTTAACTGGTGTCAGGTGTTGAGTGAGTTGGATTTCGAAAGGCAAAGATTGTAGAAAGAATATGTCACAGTAGCATAAAAATATTATAGTCTTTGATGACATACTAATCTAGATGGAATTAGACAAAGTTTAGTTGCATAGACGAGTAGCAGTTAAAAACGTCCTGATGTCCCTTGAAGATATGTTGCCTAATTCAGTTATAAGTGGACTAATGAGTACCAAAGTCGGAGTATGGCGAGACTATCACAGTGACAAAGAATGTGTTGCTGTTTCCTCTTCTTCTCATGAAAGCCTGCAGCTATCGTCTCTTGTAATATCTATAAATTATTGGATAATTTAATTTTATTTTTCACATGACTGCTTTTTTTTTGCAAGACGACAAATTTTAATTAAGAGTTGAAAATGAAATTTAAAGTGAACATAATTCCAAATGTTAATAGTTGAATTTGTAGAAATTTAATCATTTACAAATTTACTTCGAATTGAAGGTGTATGAATCTGAATTAACAAAACGCTTATATTTCCAAATTAGATACAAAATTCAATAGAAGCTCATATTTATGCAAAATCTGTTCTTTTCTCGAAATGAGCTAAGTATTGAATCGTTTGAAAATAGTCTTAAATTCATTTTATACGTTTTAATTAAAAGTCCAAAAGATATTTGATGAAATTTATTTATTTTTCGCGTGCTGTGAAGACTCGAGGAACTTAAAAAAATTCGAATAAAATGCAAATATTTAAAAATGAAAAAAGCAAAATTAAAATTGATACATAAAAAACATTCAATAAATTTGAATTTAATTTCGAATGAAACCCACTGGAAATATCAATAATTGATGCCACGGCTTGTTGGTAAATTTTTATTGGTGTTTTATTCAGACGATATTTTATTTGCAGGTGGTAAACATTTTTTGACATAAATTGATTGGAAACGTTTAATTATTTCATTAATTATTTTTTGTTGAAGTTCGAGACTAACCGACACTTTCGAGCAATTGTTTTTCCTATCCAATAATTTATTTAGCTGACAATTTAATATGAAATTTTTTTCGGTATTTTACATCCATATTGGAAAAAACGAATTAACATAAAACGGCCATCAAGTATATAAAGTTAGAGTATATTTGAAATTTGATGGAAGTGAATAAAAATGTAATAGTATATTTTACAGATATGGACTAGAATCAGGAAGTATATACAACTAGTTATAAATCAAGTTGTCAATATTTCAAAATACTTCCCTACTTTTTCCAATATATTTCACTTTCGTAGGTGTAAGTAGTCGTCGGCTTCCAGTGATTAGCTCCAACATACAGGCGAAAAATGCTACTGAGGGTACATAGTTAGAGATTATTTGTAATTTAAGATAATATATTACAGATTTAAAACAAGGTGAATTTTTCCCTTTATTCTTCTTCCTATTTTACTTAAGCACCAACGATTAGGTTTTCATTGGTCATCACATACATACAGGCAAAATTCGCTTATATGATGTCGAATATAACTCAGAACATGATATATAACTCAGAATTATAGTTGAACCATTTTGTCAATATTACAAATTGTAGTAACTTTTGTAGTGATAGGCTGGCAATATATAACATTTTTCAGCTAAACTAATATCGCTATTATTTTTTGGTTATATTTTGAACGAGAATATACAAGATATATGGATTCCGATATATGGATCTTTCATTAAATATTGAACTATAACCGAGTTTCTGGTGATAACACCTGTTATGGTTGAAATTTCATATCAGTGCATGTATAGAAACCTTTGTAATTTTTTGGTAATTGGTGGTTTTCAGGTGTGAAAATGTCGTTGCTTGATATTGTGGCTTAGTCACTTTTTATAGAAACATATGTT